ATCAGGAGTACCTCTGTCTTGTCTGGATTCAATTTCAATTTGTTCACCCTCATCTCACTGCAAAACTCCATATAATCTCTCTCAGCAGCTTCATGTAAATGTTAAACAACATAGGGGATAATACTGATCCCTGCAGGACGCCACAAGTCAATGGTTGTGAGGTTGAGCAGGTGTTCCCCAGCAACACCTTCTGGGAATGGTCCTCAAGGAAGGACCAGAGTCACTGCAAAACAGTACATCCAAGTCCCATATCTGTGAGGTGTTCCAAAAGGATACCGTGGTCAACGGTATCAAAGGCTACTGAGAGGTCCAGCAGAACCAATAGGGACACACTCTCCCCATCCAGCTCCCAGCATAGATCATCTACTAAGATGACCAAGGCTGTTTCAGTACCATGTTGCGGTCTAAAGCCAGACTTTGCCGGGTTTAGATAATTAGTGTCTTTCAAGAACCACTGGAGTTCCAGGACTTTGCCCAAAAAGAGAAGTTTGGAAACTGGCCAAAAGATGTTCAATTGGGTGGGATCTAATGATGTTTTTCTCAACAGTGGTTTTATTACAGCTTCTCTTAAGCTGGCTGGAATCTTGCCTTCCTGTAAGGAGGTGTTAAAATAATTACTTTATTAAAACTGGTTTCTTAAAGTAATTGATTATGAACACAACACATTCTTACCTTTTCTTCTGTTGACATGGCAATGCTCCTTAGTGTGCCTCCCTGCTTGTTATTTCAGCCTAAAAGCTTGTCCTAATCTAAGTCACCACTTAAAGTCTCAAAGGCAGAGCCAAGCCTTTAGACTTGATATTTTGATAAGCCTTTCTGAAAGCATCACAGATTTTTTTGTAGTTGTTAAAGGATAATATCACTTTGATTCAGTGGCATATAATTGCCAGACACAACCAAGATTGCTGCAGCCTTTTTATCTAACAAGGCTTTGGTGCTTTCAGGAACTTTGGGTCAGGCAAAACTTTAACAAGTTAGTATTTTGTGCTGCAGAGATTGTATGATAAAGTTTACTCAGCTGGATTTTCCCCAAAGATCCGAGGATCCTTAGTTTGAAAAAGCAGGACCACTGTGGTAGACAAATTCACCAATCACTGTCATTTTACAGTACAGTGCAATGACAGAATTAATACTGGAACTTACAGACTAAGCTTCTTTGGTTGGATAACTTTCGCTGATGGGCAGGGCCGGCTCAACCCATTACGCAAAGTAAGCATTTGCAGTATAGTTGATTTTGCCCAGGGGCACTCTTGAGGCGCTCTTGGGGAAAAATAGACCTTGACATATGTGAGTTGTAGTTACTGGGATGTATAGTTCACCTACAATCAAAGAGCATTCTGAACTCCACCAATGATGGAATTGAACCAAATATGGCACACAGAACTCCCATGACGAACAGAATATATATATCAGTGATTGGTGGGAGGGGAGGCGCCAAAATACTGTTTGCTTACTGTTGCAAATTACCTAGGGCCGCCTCTGCTGATGGGCATTGATTTTAGAAATCAGTTAGGTAAGGGAACCTATTAATTAAATACAGAAGAATCCTGGCTATATGAAACCTGAGATCTGATGAGCACAAATATTAGTATAACCAGTGCAGTGTAATGTTTAATGATCTCATTGGATGGGGCAATTTTCCCTTTGTATGCCGCATGCTTTCCCCTTTTGCCATGGAGGCCATTACAACATGTACATCTGCTTTGATTCGGGCTCCATGGCAAAAGGGGAGAGCAAGCAATGTACAACACCACAGCAGCAACATGGGAGGCTTGCCTTTCAAACAATGGGGGAAAGCTGGGTGGCAGATGTTTCTACCCATGGGATGAAGGCAGTTGTAAGTTGGGCAATGTTCTCCATGCCCCTACCAGCACCCCACAGATTTGCTACAATGTGTGGCAAATCAATATGCCAATGTGATATGGTCCTAAGAATATTTAATAAGGAACTTAAGAAATTCAGATCCAGGTCTCGATTAATCCATGACGTTCACTTTGTTCTAACCTACCTGATAGGATTTTGTGAGGAGAAGGAGAACCATGCATGCTGTTCTGAAGTCATTGGAAGAAGGCCAAGATATAGATATACTCTGCTTTAAATCCCACCCATGGGAGAAAAAGTGGGATAAAAATAAATAAATAATTATGAATAATAGCAATAATAATCTAATTTTTCCAAGGATGACTCCCACACTCCCTGACCATTGGTTGATGGGAGCTTGAGATCAACACCTGATGGTCCACAGTCATGTGATTGAAGACAGCATGACAAATTTCTGTCATTGACCTGTACTTGTCAGGCTCAGGTCCAAGTTCTTTTCTACACATCCTTGTTAAATGATGAATAAGTATTGACCTGTCTTTCCCTCTTTTCTTTCTCTCCCCACTCTCTTTCACATTTGCTCCCAAGCTGCTTTTGATCTGAGTGACAGTATCAAATGGGCACTATTGATATTTGTTCCTGTGCCATAAAGAAGGAACAAATAGGTTCCAAACCTGTTATTTCCTTCAAAGAGCAGTCATTCAAGCAGCCAGTCCTGTGGGTCACATAGTCATTATTCTGGCCGAGAGCACAAATACATCTAAAATTGCAGAGGGACAAAATGAGCAAGGTGCTGGGCTGGCATTTGCTTGAGAGTGCGTAGGTTTTAGAAAGCCAAAGGCATTCAGATGTCAGTTTAGCCAAGTCCTGTTATCATCATTAATTCAAGTAAACTATCAATGTTTGATATGGCAATTTTATTTGCAACCTCTTCATTCTCATTCTTTTTCTCTGCTTGACTACACTCCCACAGTGGTTATGAGGATAAATATTATATAGTTACATGGGCACCATTCTGAGTTTCTTGCAAGAAGAATGGGCAAACCGGGCAACTCAATACATTTTATCCCTGAGAGTCAAGACAACTTCTCCATCCCTGTGGACATACCATGATGACTGTCAGTTCAACCTTTCTAGAGCACACTACAGAGTTAGACCATTAAAATTCCACTTTAACTATCATGGTTCCAGGGACAGAGGATGATGGGAACTGAAATCTCACAACATTTGGAGGGCAATAGCTGCTTCCTAGCTTTGTTAGAAAGTGGCAATTTCTGTGCATGCTGTAAATGCAATACCCAAGGAGCTTTGGGAAAACAGTACACTCAACTCTCCACATTTGTAGGGTTAACTTTTGTGAATTTGATTATTCACAGATTAAATTAATATGCTCTTCCTGGGAAGTTCTAGGTCCCTTGGGGTGATTCTGTAGTAAACTTCATCTAGTGGAAATTGCTTACCCTGTTCTCTCAGGTAAAAAAGGGTTTTTCATTTGAAGTTTTCCTGCTTTCATGAGAGTACTGTGCCCCTAGTCCCTACTGTAGTCACTATTTTCCCAGAACCGATTCAGTGGCTCTTTCTATGAACTCCACAGCCTTGTAGCTTTCACCTAAATTTTATTTTGGTTCTCCACTGAGTGAACAGCTGCAATCCAATAGAAATGGTGGGCCAGGTTGAAAATCAAAAACCTCCTGGTAACAGCCAATTAAACATGTGAATTAGGCAAATTGCTAATTTTGGTCTAGTGAATTCTATTGAAAGGCCTCCACTTGTGGGGCCAATGCTGGATTATGGTTAGTATTACTGAAAAAATCCAGAGGAATAAATAGGTCATAAATGTTGGAAGCTTTGTCAGTTCTATGACTTGGGAGGAAGACTTGTGAATAATGAAATGATGAACCATTTGTAAAGGAATGTTTTAGGGGCATCTTCTGTGTCTCTTTCTTCAATCAACAAGTAAAATCAAGTAACATGAGTTTTGTCTGCAAAGAGGGTCTTGGTATTAGGGCTGAGGTAAGATAAGCCAAAGACCATACTTCATTTATAAAGAAAAGTCTCAAGATCTGGCCAGGATAAGAGAATTGCGAAACACAATCCAATCACCAAAGTAAAAAGTAGAATTAGTGAAGTTTTTTTTTCGTGTCAGGAGCGGCTTAAGAAACTGCAAATTGCTACTAGTGTGATAGAATTGGCCATCTGCAAGGACGTTGCCCAGGGGACACCAGGATGTTTTGATGTTTTACCATCCTTGTGGGAGGTTTCTCTCATGTCCCTGCATGGGGAACTGGAGCTGACAAAGGGAGCTCATCCGCGCTCTCCCTGAATTCGAACCTGTGACCTGTCGGTCTTCAGTCCTGCTGGCACACTGTGTCACCGGGGGCTCCTATAGTGAAGATAATCTGAGGAGTACCAAACCAGGTCAGAAACAACAATAAACAATAGCCAAGGTCACAGTCTAGTAATCAGATGCCAGGAGTTCAATTCTCAGGGTTCATAAATCAAAGAAAAAAAATCCAGGAATACAAACCAAAGTCAGAGTTCAGAAGTCAAGCCAGGAAATCAGAAATACAAGCTAATTAAATGTCCATAAATCAAAGGTCAGGGATTTAGTTGTCACAGTCCAAAAGTCAGTGCCAGGAATTATGGAATACAAACAGGGCCAGAAACAAAAGTACAGGAAACCGAGATCAGAGTCCAGAAATCTAAATCTCTTATCTGTCTTACTCAAACAGATGCCAGAGAGTCCTTAAATATAGATAATATTTAAGAAATGTTAACAAACTCAGCAGTTTGAAAATATAATAGAAGTTCCAATATTATCACTGTATGCCACAAACATTGCATTGAATGCTTATTTTAATAAATAAAATAAAAAATGTGCCGGCGTACAAACAAGAAACACAGGGTTCTCAAGGATGTGTCCATGGCACTTAAAGTTCTATAACTGTGTTGTCTGAAAGGTCTCCATGTTCTCCATCACCAGAATGATAAATAAATACAGATTACATAGTAATCATTTCAATGTTCTTACCTTTTTGACCTGAATGTTTGTGCTTTCTGTCTTTGTCAACAAAGGTATCCAGAACTTTAGGTCTTCTGATTACAAAGACCGTTTTCTCAAGAAAGTTGCCATTCACTTTGAGTGTTTGCTTTGAATGGGGTTGGCCATCATTTCCACAATGAAACTTGCAGCTACAGGATCACTGAAGTATTCCTGTGGAAGTGTTGAACTGAGGTCAAGAAAAACCTTACTGTTGGGCATGCAGTAAATAAGCCAGATGAAATGATGACAGCAAAAAAGAAAGCAGCAGTTAGTTTGTCCACCTACTAGTTTATGAAAAGAATGAGCTGAACAGATGAGGGATGTGACTTTGCCCTATGGAACACATGTCAAGCAGCTTTCAATGACAGTAACTAATTGTAGTTCTAGTGGCAGCTCCTGTGGATTATTGCTCACAAATAACAGGTAAAAACTAGCAAACATAATGTTTTACATACTGGTCTGAAATTTCTTCAGAATTCAGATTTTCACTGTCTTTTGCTATTCCCATCAAATGTTCATTGTTTGTAGAAGTACATTTTTAGAATGTTGATGAAATCTGTCTATTTTCCCCTCAGAAACTATATTAGAAAAATGAAATTGGCACCGCATTAGTTATAAAACCTAAAAGGTATGTTTATACTTACTTATTTAGGCAATCCATTGTGTCCGAATATGATGGCCTTCCAAGTGTAGTGTCTTGGTGGTGGATCTGTAGGTGACTGTGGAGCCCTATTCTTGATCTGCATGTTCTTCCACAGTGAGGTCATTGGTTTCCAGGTGAAAGAATGTTTCTGTCAAGAATGGTTTGATGCGCCTTCCTCTTGGCACGACTCTCCCTTTTGCCCTCCATTCATGCCTCTTTGAATTCTGCATCACTGCTGGTCCCAGCTGACCTCCAGTTAGCATGCTCAAGGATCGGGGCTTCCCAGTTCTCGGTGTCTATATCACAGTTTTTAAGGTGGGCTTTAAGCCCATCTTTAAATCTCTTTTTCTGTCCACTAACATTCAGTTTTCCATTCTTGAGTTGGGAGAATAGTAACTGCTTTGGGAGACGATGATTGGGTATTCAAACAATGCGGCCAGTACAGTGAAGTTGATGGCATAGGAGAAACGCTTCAATTCTGGTGGTCTTTGCATCTTCCAACATGCTGAAATTGGTTTGCCTGTCTTACCAAGAGATTTGCAGGATTTTTCGGAGGTAATGCTGATGGAATTGTCCCAGGAGTTGAGTGTGACATCTGTAACTCTCATGAGAATGGGAAACATACCTGACATGACAGGGGGGAAACTCTGAATCTGTAGTGAGTAGAGCAATTGTACATAAATATTTTTCAAAGAGCACCAATCTTCTTGAAAAGCAATTCTACAGATTGATTTATTGCATATAAGGATGGAGTCAGATTAGAGCAGGCTTCTCTGCAATCAATGGCACTTCAGTTAGTTACAACTGTCTAATCCTATTGATTCCAACGGAGTTAGATGAAGTATAACTAAATATTATTTACTGCATGGAGAAGTAACTTTTTAGGCCACACATCTTTAAATTATCCAGGTATCATGGTCAGTGATTATGTTGACTGGGAGATTCTAGGAAGTGTAGTCTAAAAAGTAACTTTTCCAAGCACTGATTTGGATTCAACCTATAGTTAAAATTTATACGATTGACTAAACTTGAGAAATAACACATATGTTTCAACAACAACAACAACAACAACAACAACAACAATAATAACCAACTTTATTTGTATCCTGGCCTATCAAAAAAAACATCCAGGCATCCCCTGGGCAATGTCTTTGCAGACGGCCAATTCTCTCACACCAGAAGCGACTTGCAGTTTCTCAAGTTGCTTCTAACATGAAAAAATAATCTGGAGGGTTGCTCACATCAGAAGTCCACCCCTAGTATGCATACACCATTGTTCCATTTTTACACACATGTCAAGGAGAAATACTACAGATCCCTACCCTAAGTGCCAAAATAACTGAGTTGATTTTCATACCTTTGGTCTTACACAATATATCTGGCTTTGATATAGATGGAGCACCAATTTTTAGTCTACGCCAGGCAGCAAAATGTCCTTGTTTGGAGAGGAGGGAAATTGGAGAGAAAAGTTCCTTGATCCAGACCTGTTTCAATTTTTGCCTGTTTATAATCTTACTCGAGCACACCTAAACATGATTACAAGCAAAGAACTGGTCTGGTACTTCCCCATCCTTCCCTTTCTTTTTCATGCTGAATGCTACTGTGATTGATCTTGCAAGCAGCAAGGTTGTTGCTCAGGTGAGACTCTATATCACATTTCGTGTGCTTTTAGTTTGTGGATGTGCTATTCAGCTTCACACTGTCAAACACTGTTTGTGACAAATATTTCAGAGATGAGCTCCTGCTCATTATCAACTATACTGAAGCTTTCTTGCTCATTTTAGACAAGAAAATATGCCTTCACATTTTCTTTCTTTCTTTTGCAGCTCAAAGTATCAAACATCTTAGCTAAACTGAAAGGAGAAAAAAGGGCAGAATTCAGTGCACTGCAGTTTAATCCTTGTTTTTTTTAAAGGCAATTGTATTTTAAGATTTCTAACATATATTCTTGTGAATTGAGGACTTTGTCCCATCTGTGAAGTCCAATAACACTCTAGAGCAGGACTGAATGAGGCCCCCCCCCCTCCCACTATTGCTTTTGAAGACCAACCAGTTCAGAGATTCAAGGGCTTGTGCAGTAGAGTTTGGGTGCCTTTCCTCCCACCATATAGCAATGGTACCTGCCTCTGGGACCCTCTGTGGCCCACATAGATAAGGAAAAATGCTGAAAAATAAGTTCAAAAGTGAAAATGGCTGGAAGGCCACTTTTTCCAGAAGGAGTCTGGAAAAAGTGAAGTCCAGAATTTTTTTTAAAAAATAAATAGTATTCAGAAAAATATATTTGTTAGCAGTCATATGCATACTAACTTCTTTGTACTTATCAGAGCTATTCTGAAGTGTATTTTAGGACCCTTCCACACAACCCTATATCCCAGAATATCAAGACAGAAAATCCCATAATATCTACTTTGAACTGAGTTATCTGAGTCCACACTCAGATAATGTGGGATTTTCTGCCTTGATATTTTGGGATATAGGGTTGTGTGGAAGGGCCCAAAGTAACTCGGAAGAAAACCCTCTACCCTCCCCCACCACACACTAGTGGAAATGGATGTAGGAAAGATTATGATAGAACAGGCATGGGCAAACTTCAGTCCTCCGGGTGCTTTGGGCTTCAACTCCCATAATTCCTAAAAGCCAGTAAACTGACTGGGATTTCTGGGAGCTGAAGTCCAAAACACCTGGAGAGCTGAAGTCTATGTTTGTGGTAGAAGGACAATGTTGGGAAGAGTGTTGGCATTTGTGTTTGCGTCTGCAGGTAGAAAATGACCACAGTTTTCCTCAGGGAAGTATTGTCATGGTCTTTGGAAGCTGTGGGATTCTTAGAACCTGCTTACTTTACAAAATAGTAGATAAAATACGTCCCCAATGTGGAAATCATGGATTCAGCAATTTTCTACACACCATAAATAAATCTATTTTGTAGTAAATTTATAAAGAAGAAATATTAGATTCCTCTATCAAGTTTGAAAGAACAATGGAATAATTGCTCCTGGAATAATTTACACATGATGCATACGTCCTTTGTATGCAGTATCTATAATTTAGGGTAGCTTTTCTCAGCCTGTTGTTCACCAGATGTGTTGAACAACAGTTCCCATAATTCTGAAACAGGAATGCAAATTCCAAAATACAAAACATAAAATTAATGATTTATGGAAATTTAATCATCCACATTCAAAAAAGTACCAGATTAGAGATGGTTGGTTTAAAATATCTCTTACAGTGGGCTTTGCTTACAGCATCTAGCATTAAAATTATGAAGTGAACATTAAAATTGCATCCAGCGACATGCAACCTCATTGACATTAACAATCTGTATTGCTACCTGTATTGTGTTTGCTTTGGTGTGCTATTGATGGGTTCTCTGCATGGCTTTTCCATACAGCTAACTAATATGGTCCATCTGCACACTTCCAGCAGAATTGGCTAAAATTCCCATAAGGTCTAGACAATGGGTTGCAGTGGCTGAATCTTTAGGGCAGCATCCACTAAATAATTGGCAGACCTCACAGAGATTGATTAGTAACATATAATAAAAGTTGCCCATATTTAACCCACACTGTCGTGTTGTCTTGTGATTTCACTGATAGGAAAACAAATAATAGGAGGTAAATACCTTTGTAATTCAGGAATGAAAACATAATTGGTCATAAAACACATATGATTCACATGTAGTGCAATTTTAATTGATCTAAATTTTGTATTTTTTTTAACCCTAAGAGCCCCTCCCCCCCGCCGCCCAATTTTGATCCAGTTAATATGAATTAAACAGAAAAGATCTGCTGATGGCTGGAGGAGGGAGGGAGGGAAAAATCAGACAGACTTCACCAAGTATATTACAACATAATCCAACTACCAGAGTACCTCAGGATTGTTAAAATGCAGAAACAGCAAATTTATTATCATTCAACTAGTCTATCTTTTCTACACCTTAATTCAGGAAGAATTGAAATTAGAAAAATTGTGCTACTTTCTCATTAGATTTACATATAGATAATGGATCAATGTGGGCAATGGCTATATTCCTTCCCTATGGGTGACTTGAGAATGTCTGAGAAAGACAATGTCTCTCCACGTCAAATCCAGACTCAGCCTAGCATGCTGTGTGCATCAGTCCATTTTCTCCCTCAGAAGCTGTTTAAGCCCTTATGAGACACATATCCACCAGTTCTAATTTAGATAACCATAAATTAATTATTCATCCAGAAGACAAGCTTAGCCTTTACTTATCCCTGCTTTGGGGCACCAGCTCAGTATTCGGAAGCTATATTGCGGGTAACTGGTAGTGGGAGGAGAGCGGGGAGAGTATTGTTGACAAAGTTCAAAGAGTAATGAGTGCTAAACAGGTGCTCTCTAATCCATTGCTTTTGCAACATGCACAGTAATGTGGCACAAGTATTATTAAGTGGCATGGATGACTCACCAAAGGGTCAAAAAAAACCCAAAAAAATTTGGAAGTCTTTTTATATCACTTCACATTCACTAAAAGATATCTGAGGCCTTGTCCGAGGCCACTTTACATTTGAGACAGCACCATAGCATGTTATATGCCACAGATATGGCCTTTTACATGTTG